AAAGTAAGTGTTCGTCTGCATGAGATTAGTGCGTACGTGTTATCTGAACGGAACTACACTGTTTCAAGTTGATTTGAAGAACAACATACTAATCCGTATATTATCCGAATAAAGCCAGGTTTAAACCTTTTGTATTAATCAAGCAATTAATCTCACTGTGAACAATTCTGTATGGTCTTCACTGACATCAATCTTTCCAGAGGATACCGATGACTAAATTGTTTTATGAGCTGATGATGTTAGTTAAAATTATTTGTTATTTATAGCAGTATGGAGCTGAATTAAAATATCTCCACAATCCGGTTATCGATTTTGTTCCCTTCAGCCCCAGCTCTTCTCAACATTTCATTAATTGTAGAAATTTGAATTTGGGATTCTGTTCGCAGAAGCACCTCCACTTATTTCTGATTTCTCACTCATCTACGATGCTAGAAAGAAGCAAGCAAAACTTGCCATGTTTGTTTTCAATTTCCTCTCGTTTCATGAATATGACGTGCTGACCAAGTTACTTCTCAACCTGAATGTTTTCCTTTTTTCACCATTTCATCCCATAAATCAGGACAAATATGTACTGATGTCGCTGGCGATTCTCTGCATTATCAGTGTGTGGCATGCTATTGTCACACTATGGGATCCGGACGCGGATAGTGAGTTGTTCAACATCACTCGGAGTCATACGAGCGCGTCCAGCACGTTGGGTGTAACCGCACCCACGCTCCTGTTTGTAGCCAATCAGACAACTGCACCACTGCTCAATCGGAACAGCACCAGGTCCAAGAACAGACCGAATCTAGGGAAAATGACAACCGTGTCCAGCAATCGATGGGCTGCTGGAAACAAATCAGGTTCGTGGTTGAAAGAGTCCTTTGGATAGTAGGGATTTCGGTTGCCAAAGCTTTTGACCTTGTGAATAATAAGTAAACTTTTGCTCAAAGTCTAGTTTGACCGTTTGAGGACCCTCTAGTATTGAGTTGACTTGCAGAAGAAAGAACATGTAGTCAGATGAGTGGGGCTTGACTGTGGGCACGCGATCTAATACATTCGTATTTGGTTGGCCGAGTTAACAGAGACACATTAAATCGGTAACAGTTGCATGCCATTTTCTCTGCAACTCTTGAGGGCTAGAGATTAGCTCACCGATGCAGACCTTTCGTTAGAGTCATCAGCATTCAGAAGTAAAAAGAAAAACCACTTTTAGTCATTTGAGGTCTCGATATTTGCGTCTAAATAGCCATCGCTAACCGTTGGCAACGGACGGATCAATCTCCTTCGACGCATTTTCTTTTAGTCCCAGTGACAAGACCAAAATGACGCATTGGACGCATGATGATATAACCCCGTTCCAATCAGCTATTGATTAGACCCAGCGCTTTGTCGGTCTTCCGCTCAGTAACTTTAAATAACCTATTTTTTTGTTTCTCAGTACAGTCCTATGAAATGTGTTATCCCCAGTTTTAATTCGCTAAAGTCTAACAGCCAATTGTTTAATGCACGACAATTTGTTTGCATAACAGTAATTTCTATTATCAAATTCACCATTCACCTTTGTATTATTTTACAGTCTATATCTCATTAGTGACCGACAACCTTTCATGGAGTTAGTTGAAAGTAGATGTACATTCAGAAGGAACTTGTGTAAAATACCTTAGGTCTTCTTCAGATTAGGTTGTTGGGACTTTAAAAAAAGGCCATCGTTTTCAAAGGTCGATTGATT